GGGCCGCCACCCCACCATTCTTCTTTGACTGTCATTTTTCTTCTAGTAACATATATAATGTTATATTAATATACTTATTTAATATATTTAATATTATTATTTATTTAATATATTTAATAATAATATTTATTTAATATATTTAATATAATTATTTGTTTATTATTTATTATTTTAAATATTATTACATGTTTTCAAAAATTAAACCACCAAACACAATTTCAGTTTTTTTAAAACTGAAAATAATTTCAGAATAAAACTACCAAACGTATTTTCAGAAATGATTCCAAAATAAAAATAAAAACGTTTTCATTTTCATTTTCGTACAGAAAACAAAAACGTTTTGAAACCAATTCCAAACGCACCCATTTCGTCCCATTTTCGATCTCCAAAAGTGTAATTCCAAACAATGACTGGGAATCGTTGATTTTACTTCTCTTTTTCTACTGTTTAGGAGCATAATAAGCAAAAACAATTTAAAAAAGGTCTGATCTCTAACGGTATTTTTTTTAATGTTCATTCACATCCAAATTGTACGAGAATGAAAAAAACAATATATTACACTTGACGGAATCTTATATTACACTTGACGTAATAGACCGGTGAATAATTTTTTGGTACCCTACAGGTATTTTAATACTTTTATTATTATTTTTCCTGATTTATATATTTGAGGAATTTTTTCTCTTTGCAATATTCTGTTTTAAATGGAACTAAATAATTTAAAATGCAACCATACAGTTATTGTTAGACATTATACGAGTAAGAATAAATAAAGTATATAATAATGTCAGAAACATTCTCTTCTTAAAGTTGAGAACCTTCCGTAACAATAATAGATTTAATGAGTGCAATAAGAAAGCACAAATAATAATTCAGAAAGAAGGGAATAATAATGAAGAAGAAAAAAGATACAAGAAAATGGTTGACGTCTTGTCCATCAAACGACAAGCTAGTATGGAAAGGATATGCTTTATGATTGAGTGGCTTTCAAAGCCTTTTCAAGTTAAATGCATGTGCTGTCTCCATGAATAAAAAAAATGCAAAAAGAGATGTACATTTATATCGAAGCCTACCTGATGAATATGTTTTTCTTTATTGTATTTTATTTTATGGATTTTTTACTATTAAATACACGTAAATTAAATTATGATTTGAATCATAATTTATGATTTATTATAATATTTTCTCTCAAAAAAATATACATAAATTAAAAATAATTTTAATAACATAATTTTAATCTATGAACCAAACGGATCTTATTTTGTGCCAGAGTTGAAGCTACAACAAAACAAACTATCTAGTCACGGTGGTGGGACCAACATGTAAGTTGTATGGTGGTGGGACCAACAAACAAGCTAGTCATTGAGTCAGTACTACTTAAGTTGGCCGTGATGATAGGTTTTGGATCTGTTCCATCCATTCTAAAAGATTCGGACAATATATATGTATATATATAAGATACACTATGAGCTATATATATACGTATGTATTATATGTATGGCAAGAGAAATAAGTACTTCTCTCATGAATTTCGCACTTTCTTCTCTTCGCGAGGGGATGGCATATATATATATATATATATATATTGCCTTGAGAGAAGCTATTTGTGTAGTAATAATGCAACGGTAGAAGGCAAGGTTGGCCCGGCTATTTATTTATGTTTTAAATGCATCTTTAAGTGGTAGGGGAGGGGGGAAAGGATCGGGCACTTGAGATTATAGGTAAGATTTTGATTGTGATATATTAAAGAAGAAAAGAACAAAAAGATAAAATAAAAAAGGATCGATGAGAAAGTAAAATGCAGAAAAAAAGTGCCACCTTATTATTTCTGAGTAGGTAGGTCTTGGTCAAGATATATAATTACCACAGAACACACGTAACTAACTTGTAGAGTTTATATTTGTACGTTAACTAATTACGGAGTGTACTATTTACTTCTCTAATAGTAGGTATACATGTATAAGTTTTTTCGCTTGTTACTCTTATTAATATTAGCTAGCAAGTGGCTTCCGATCACATTGCATGTGGTTAATAAGTATGAATTAATTATCTGTATTAGCCTAGAAGATATATTTTAGAGAAAATAGGGAAAGAAGTTTACTCTCTTTTCGATTGTTAAACAAGTCAACCCTCTTATCAAAATAATTATTATGATTTTGTTTTTTGTTTAGATGAGTTAACTTTGTTTAAGTTAACATGCATGGTCGCAAATTCCGCCGAAATTTCCACCGAAATTTCAGAATTTTGAGTGTTCCGAAATTTTTTTCCACTATAATATTGATTTCAGTAAAATATTAGGAAAGTTTCAGAGATTTTGGTAAATATCGGTCCAAATATCGATATCGATTTGCATATAGTGTAATTGGGACAAAATTTTGGGAAATTTCGATGATATTTCGGAAATGGAAATTTCAAAGTTTTTTTTTTTTTTTTTTTTTTTTTTTTTTTTAATAAAGTTTTTTTTTTTTTTTTTTTTTTTTTGCTTTATAATATAAGTTTTTTTGCATTATTTTTTTTCATGAGTTTTCAATCGATGAATTTGAGTTCCAATTATCGTAGCTCCTCCAACGAGACCCTAACATTCATTATTCATATAATCATAATTTTACAAACTATGATGGATGTGAAATTTTTAATTATCCTCATCCGAACATACCACTGCTATTTCAGGCAAATGATTGAGAGAATTTACAGTTTCCAATTCTTAGAAATACAGTGTGGCATGTTCAGAACTATGTTCGACATTTTTCAAATAACACATCATAGTACCAATATGGTTTGAATTAAGATGAGATCCCGACCATATTTGAGCATCATAGAACTTCTTTTTAGTATTAAGAAATATAATATATATGAATTTTTTTTTATGTAAAACTTATTTATTTATGTATATTTTTAATGTTTATGCTATCAGAAGTATTATAAATATCTTCTAATGTAAATTTTTGTAATTTTCATAAAATTTTCAGATATTTCTACCGATATCGATATTTTCTCCAAAACTTCCGTAAAATTGAAGTACATATACTTTCACCAATACCGATATTTTCATCCTTGATTACGTGTAGCCATTTACCTATATAAATATATAGACACACACACATACACCAAGGTGATGTTTGAAATGAAAAGTATACTCCTACTCCTAGACATTAAGTGTTTTTTTTCTTTTTAAAGTAAATAGGGAAGAGAAGGTAATTGACATACGAGAAACTTAGTACATTTCAACAATTAAGTTAGGTCAGTACTTAGCAACTCGTTCTATATCAAACCCAATATATTTTAATATATTAATAAAAAGAAAAATATATATAATAAAAAAATAAAAATCTAGCCACAAAGGCTAAGAAATAAGAAAATAAGAATGGCCGATAAAAAATAACCCCATATAAAAGGTAAATAAAAACAAGGCCATGAAAATGATCTACTCTCTTGATTAAGAAATTAAGAAAGACCTCGTTAAATCCTCCATTGATAAAATTGGTTTTAAAAAAAAAAAAAAAACCGGCAGAGGGAATATAAAAAGATTGCCTAATCCGATATGATTTTTTGTTGTTTTTTTTTACGCATGCAACTTAAAACTCTTCTCATTTTGAACACGGAGAGTATATATATATATATATATTGGCTTTTTTCTTTTCGGGATCAATAGTTATAGTCACAATCTTTCACAAATTATCAAGCTCTGTCAATTTATTTCAGACCTTGAGGCAAGTATATCCCCATTTCTTTATTTGCATTATTGTCACTTTTCACCAAACTACCTGTAAGTTTAGACGCTAACTTTCCTTTTTACTCACTTTTTCATGATCTTTTAGAATATTAACCAAATCAAACCAAGACTCTATACATTATTAGAGCTGATTCCTGTTGATAACTTACATTAAACAGTAGGCATGCATGTAAGCGAAGAGAAGAAACCGGAAGCTGGCTAAATTCATGACAATTGTTTTGTCTTTAATATTTTCTGATGCATTTGAGATTTCTTGTATATTAATATGAGTTATTTAGATCTTAATGATTTGTATGAATACTGAGACCTTAGACGTGTTTTGCTTCCTTGAGTACTTTAAGAGATATATAGAACCAAATAACCAACCAATCTAAAGTGGCCAAAACATACTAAATAGAAAGTCCTTTAAGCACTTGGTACATTTATTATTATTTAAGTTTAATAATTTTTCATTTGATTTAATTGTTATTTTAAATAAACCATTCAGTAGAAATAGTTTACTAATTAAGAACTCTATTGAGAAATTCTTGCAATCTTTTTTTTTCCCCCACTAGCATAACCGTATATTACACAATATTATTGCAGTCGTCCTCAATATGATCTATATCACACATACAATTTAAACGAAAGTACTTGCTAATAACACGACATGACATATAACATACAAGCTGTCACTCAGATGTCTATAGCTCTGGGCACGCCAAAACATATATACAAAATTAAAACAGAAATACTCTAGGTATAAGAAAGTCCACACCATATATATATATATATATATATCTATATATATGTATATAATTTCAAACGGAACCGCCAGATGATTCTCTGTTGTCATCAACAACATGAATATTATTGCTCATCATCCGACGAAGTCTAAGCGAAAATGAGGGGGAAATGATGGGCTTGCGCTCACTCAACTGAATGATCTTATAAAACCATGAGCCGAGCAATGTCCCAGTAACTGGTCCCACAAAATACACCCAAAGCCCTTTGAACTCTTCACTGGCAAGTGCTGGGCCCAGTGTCCTCGCCGGGTTCATTGATCCACCTGATACTGGTCTGGAATAATACATATATATATATTTATTACAAATTTAGTTTCTTTAGTAGCAAGCTTTGTTAGGTTTTGGTTCTTGTCCATCTCTAATTTGTATATGTGGAATTTGTGTGCTTCGGCATTAGTTGTTAGTTAGATTAGATTGTAATTTTCCGAATTTGTGAGCTAATTAATGGCACGTAACTTGTGACAGGCTAAAAACTTTGGACCGTTCATTACTTTTGACCTAATTGAAAACCACTAGTTACTTTTTTTTTTTTTCCTTCCTAATGTAGAGGTAGATTTTCTTACCCAGCTACAATTGATGTTATGCACACAGCTGAACCGACTGCCAGACCTGCTAGCTCTCCTACCTGCGACAGTATAATTAAATCAAGTCCTAAAATATTGGAAATGAAATTGATTAATGCAGATAGCATGCATATAGCCTAGTAAGCCTCATATACATACTATATACAGTTCTTGGTCCTTGTACGGTAGGGTAAATTGAGAATTGTATGCAGAATAAATATGATATTATTAAGATCTGACAGTTAAAAATAAAGAACTAACTACTAGTAGTTTATTTTTTCAAGAACTGCTGTAAAATTCTCCATTGTTCTTTTATGTATCATATGTAGGAATTTTGAATCGTCAAAATAATAAGACTTTATTGGTAATTAATGAGTTAATTATAAACACGATAAAAGAAAAAGAAAAAGAAAAATAAAGCACAAGAAAATTTGTGAGGTGAGATCAATATCTATGTATGTATGTATTTGTGTGTATATATATATATATATAAATTTACCGCTTTGGTATCGGTAGCTACAGCAGAGGTAATAAACATCATGTTAAATGTGACGACTATCTCCATAACTAAAGCTTTGACATGTGAACCAGAAGGTGTTGTGGTGCCAATAATGTGAATTGGGTCCAGCAGCCCTCGAAGTGTAAACGCAGCTGCAGTAGCTCCTGTAAATTGAGCTAATGCATAGAACGGGACCTGCATTCAATTAGCAGTAGAATAACAAATTAATTAAACCCAATATTATTGAATCTCTACATTCTTAATTCTCTGTTTCCAACTATTTGTTTAGAAGCAAAGAGATTTTTAGACAAGTTAACATATGATCAATTATATGAATAAGGTATTTCTACCAAAAAAAAAAAAAAAAAAAAACACACACACACACACACACGCGCGTCTGTGTGTCTATATATATGTGCATTATATATATATATATATATATATATATATATATTGAGTGAGTTGGGGTCATAATCATCATCATCAAGAGTTAGCAGAGACATCCCAATTAGATCGACGTCAGTTTAATCTTTGAAAGTCATCAATTTTGTAAACAAAAAAAAAATAGCTAGTCACTGGATTAGAAGGTGTGTTACATATCAGAAAAGAAAATTGCCACAGTGCCTGTCTAAATTGAAGAAATATTAATTAATTAGATTCATTTGTTCATTAATAGGAATCAATAAATATTGAGTAGTTAAGGGTTAAAATGTCAACATAAATAAATATTGAGTAGTTAAGGGTTAAAATATCAACTTAGTGCCCAATAGTACCCGTTTCTTGAATAATTGATGCCCAGAGTGATAACTACCTACTTTTCAAACTAATTCTATACTATAGTTCAACAATTATTTTGAGTTTGCCTTGATCTTCTATACTAGTAATTAAAGTCTTCTCCTAACTCCTTAATCCTTATAGATTGGTGACCATACATATTGCCTCTTTACAGATGGGCTACAGGAATATTTTCTCTTTTCTCCATTTTCAATAATTAAAGCCGCTCTAAAGTTGGCCAAATCAAAAGAAAAAAAGGTCGTTCTAAAGTTGATCAAGGAAACTGAAGGTGGATGTTATATATGCTGAAGATGTTGATCTTTGTGGTGGGATGAAGACATAAAGCTTAATCAATTATGTATCCCTTGAAATACAAATAAAAAATATAACGAAATCTCATATTCAAAAGAAGATGAAAAAGAAATTAATCACTGTTTTGTGAGAATAACAAAATTGTAAAGGAAACAGTACATTGGAATATTCTTATGAAGAATAAAAAAAAAACAATACCATCTTAATTAATTCTTATAATATATAGTTATTGCTCATATAGTTGACCTGCAATGGATTGATGTCTATCCGTTTGTGTGTCTAGTTGGAAGCAGGAAAAAACTAATGGTGCTTAAAACATTTCTCCTCCATATGAAGTTTCACAGATAAATTTTTTTTTTGAACTGAAGTTTCAAAGGTAAATTTAGCTTTCACTCTCTGGTATATATATATATATATATATATATATATATATATATATATGTAAATGGTACCGCATGCTTCTCACCCTTTGACATGCGCCTAAGCACTACAATATCATAGGTTCGATCGATCGGAATCTTTGTGGGTCCCCAAGCCGACCTCGTTGACTCATTTAGCATTTTAACTCGTGCCTATTAACGTTAAGTAACACGTCTTATAATTAGTGGCTTATAACTATAAATAATGGAAGGATACTGCCCAATTTCAAAGTCCTCAAATTCGATCCACGCCAAAGACTTTTTCTCAAACCAACTAATATACAGATATAGACGCGAATATACTAACTGCAGATATTAAACGCTACGAATGCTTAGAGGAATAGAACTTTGGCTACTAAATAGTGTGTTGGTATTTGCAACCTTAATTTCTTATTTCTATTATTCTAAAATCATTTTGGAGTTACATATATAATGAAAATCACTGACAATTCATTTTACTGTTCTAATTCACAAACATTCGTTCTTAAAAGAACAAAAATATTCCTTAACAAAAAAAAAAAAGAAAAGAAAAACATCAAACATCAAGCATGCTCGTGATAAATTATAATCGGAAGAAAAAGTATTCATGTTTGTAAAAGAAAATTAATATTGATCACGACCAGGTTGATCAATATTGTAAATATCTTTATAAACCTGGAAAAAGTGAAACAACTGATACTAAAAAAAAAAAAAAATACATCACAATTAGATTGGCACTTACTAAACACTCCATCACGTGTCAAATCTTCGATGCAAATATTTGTTATAATTAAGAAGTACCTGTTTCCAGGGAAAACGAAGAAAAGCGGCAAAACCGATGGTGACGGCAGGGTTCATGTGAGCACCGGAGATGTGGCCGACGGAATAGATCATCACCGTCACAATGAGACCACCAGCAATTGACGCTCCCAATTGTGAGATTCTGCGGTTATCACTTGTACTAATAGCTGCTGCAGCGCATGTCATGAAAACTAGCAGAAACGTCGCCCCCACCTCTGCAATTACCTGTCATCACATAGTTTTATTTTACGTAAATAGTATCAATAATATTCCCAAGATAGTATATACTTAATCATGCAAACAAAACTATACGCATGCACACACAAATCATGTAATGTATGTCGCATATAATAGTGGAATACAATAATATTTATGTGGCCTAGTTTCAAGTGCATTTAGTTATGATTATTTGATGGTTCATGATCACATGAACAGAAGTACTATTTAGGATTTTTAAAATATATATATATATATATATATATATATATATAT